AGTTTGAAGCTTGGGTAAGTGTTACCACCCTTTGATCATGAGTTTAATGGGTAAAATTTAATGTCTTGCCATGTTTAATGAGTTAAACAAGTAACCAACTGATATGTGAACTTAAAACAGAGTAAAAATGCATGCTTTGACGTTTTAAAGTGTTAAAAATGGAACCTTTGTTGGATATCTTCGCGAAATGTAGAAGCTGCATTCTGTCGCGAAATATCCGGATATGAATATCCGGATATGGGGTCTTTTGATATCCGAATATGATATTCGGATATGCATATCCGAATATGATTTCCGGATATGTCCCAGACAGATATCCGGATATTCTGTGTTTTTGAGGAACAATGGCTTACTGTTCATCCAGAACTAATGTGTGGAGTTTGTGGACCCTAGTTTGAGGAAGTTGAACTTCTGTAATAATTGAACTAAGTCAGAATCAAGTGATTAAGGGCTTATGGCTTGGTGAGAAGCCTTAAGACATAAAACGTAAAAGAGAAGCATTGTCTTTATGTTTATGCATATGAGCTATGTTTATTGATATGATTGCTGGTCCAAATCAAATTGTGATTCTGCTGTGTTTAACTGTGAGCTTTGGTTGGACTCTTGGCTTGGATTGTTAGCTTGCAAGGTAAGCTTTCGTGTCCTCGGTTTAGCCATGTTGTGGTTTCACCATGTCCCATGGGGGTATGGTTGTATGCATGTTGTGTTACATGCTTTGAATATTTGAAATGCTTTTGAGCTGGTATGTGCAATGGCTTATAATATGTATGTGTTTTTTCCACATAGTCGGTAAGCCTGAGTATGTAGCGTCATACAAGATGGTGAGCCCGTGGGTGGGTGCAAGTAGCGTCTTGCATATTGTATGGGTAATAGACGTATTCTTGCATTTCTCTGATCAGTAGAATAGAATTGACACACATGACATGATTATCTATTGCATTGCATTATTTTGGAAATTATATTGTTAAACTGCTTTTGAACTTATATTGCACATGTAAGTGAGCTTGGGGTGGAAGATCCTTGAGGACCCCTTGTCTTACTGAGATTTCTTGTTTAGAGATCTCACCCCACATTTCGGGGCGCTTATTTCAGGTTCAGGTAGTTTGGGGGCTGATGCCTCTAGCGGCAGGAGGCCAGAGCTTAGCTGATGATATTGCTGTTATATTTATGCTGACATGTCTGGATTGGATGTTGTTTATGTTTTCCGCCATATTATTATGATGTTGATGTTGAGACTTATGTTGGGCTTGATGCCTTATTTGGATGAGCACGTGGTTTGTCCATGCCACTTTATGTTAGTTCTTTGAGTTGAGTTGTATAACTTAGTAGGTTGTCCGGTCTACGTGTTATAGTTCCGTGACTAGAGACATACTTATGTTATTTATTTAATGAGGTATTTTAGTTAGATATTTATTTGCATTTTACATACAAGCAATGTTTTGAAAATGGATTAAGTATTCAACTTGGCTAAGTATAATGACATCATAATTGAAAAGAAAAAGATATTCCGCAATTTTAATTAAGCGCAGCTTAATACGATGATATGATAACATTACCGGATATATACGGGGTGTTACAGTTAATCAATGGAGGATTGTGCGTATCATTGAACTTCTCCATGATCCATGATTCATCTACTAACTTTATTTTTAACATTGCTGAACAATTAGTCCTTGTATCCCTTCGTCTTTTGACATTATTAACGTCAATTCGTTTATCATTTAGTTTCTTGACACCTTGCTTTGAGCACACATAATATCACCTACACGGTTGTTGTGTCTTTGCATTCTTGTTAAAGTACTGCTTACGTATTCCAAACCCCTTACCTTCAGCATAGACATTATAAAAACAATAAGCTTCTTCTGTTGTCTTAAATCCCGTTTGTTTAAGCTTCTAAAAAAAGTAACTTTTATCTCTTTTTTATTTTAGAAGTGCTTTTTATAAAAGTTAAAGTTATTTATATTTTTATAAAAATATTTACTTTTTGAAAAAAAATATTTGGCTTTTGACTTTTGCTTTTCTTAGAAGTTAAAATTTTTAGCTTCTGAAAAAAGTTGATTTTTGACTTTTTTGTGACTTTTGCTTTTTTTAAAAGCAGATATTCAAACGAACTAAAAACGAGAAGCGCTTTATTTTTTGAAAAAAAGAAGCTTATGAAGAAAAAAAAGCCCATCCAAACGGGCCCTTAAAGACTCCACCTAAACTAGGGGCCTCACTGAATCCACTATCATCATCTCCCATAATTTCTTGTACTATCTTCTCTACAATCACCATCTTTGTCTTCCAATAGCAACTTTTGGTATGTGACTAGAAGATAGGTTGGGGAAATTCATTTTTTTTTTTGAATATAAAGGAAATAGACTACAAAACAGGGCAAATTCTCGAATGAGAAATGCCCTTCGTATCACTGTCTAACAAAACAATACAATCTGCAGGGGATTGCTCAAAAACATGCATGTCCCAGTCGTTAAAAGAATAACCCAAAGTAGCTAACCTATCCGCAAGCCTATTGCCTTCCCTGTAAGAGTGACTAATTCTGATATTCCATGGTCTATCTAACAACTCTCTTATTCTGTTGACCAAAGGGGATAAGGGGTGTTGTATCTCACAATGTTTGGACACCAACCGAATAACTGCTTGAGAGTCCCCTTCAACCCAGAGATTCGGGGTGCCCAAATCCCAAGCTACTTCAAGACCATGCAACAGACCCCATAATTCCGCTCTAGTTGAGGTACTTGCACCAATATTTCTACAGACGCCCTTCATCCAATTGCCTGACGCATTCCTAATTACACCGCTACAACTGGTCTTCTTTCCTCTATCTACACATGAGCCATCAAAGTTGAGTTTGCTACACCCTTCTTCAGGAAACTTCCAGCAAACAAATCTTTTCTCCTTCTCACGCACCTTCAAACCTTGGGGACATAGTTCCCTCTGTGCAATCTCCACTTGTGATACAAAAACTTTCACTTTCCTTATAATGGAGTCCTGTGAAATTTTGGACAAGCCATTGTTGGCCTGGTAAGGAGAAAAATCCAGTCCATCTCTTCTCCGGTTCAAAAAGTTCTCTGTTAAGTGTCTGTGGAACCTCCTCTCATTTGTTAGTAGATTGTTACCTATAGCCAGCCAAAGGAATGACTGCGTACCCTCTTCGAATCCCTCCACAGCCAAGCATTCTCACTTGTATTACTCATACCCTCATTTGTCCCGTTAGTTAACATGTCATAAGCCGTCTTGATAGATAATAAGCCATCTCCAGACAAACTCCAAACAACGAAGTCATCCCCTTTCTCAGGATTAGGGGGCCTAACGTTAGCAATATTATGGGAATTAACCAGCTTGTTCACGGTCTAGTCGCTTGCATCCTCAGGAACCTGGACATCTTCCTTCATAATAACCCTATCATTCAGCGACAACCATCTGTCCCTCCAAAAATTGGTATATATGTTGCCCGTTGCCAGTTTGAATCCTCGTCCCTTCAGCAACTTTCGGCCAGACACACACGCATCACCCCCCCTCCAAAGGTTCGAGGCTTGCCTTTTAGCTTTCAGTTCTGGGATGAGATCCTCGCTCACTCCATATTTGTTTCTGAGAACACAGGCCCATAGGCTTGTTCTCTGAGTAAGAATACCATGCCCTACTTTCTTAATGAAAGCTTGGTTGTTCTTTTTCATTCTTCTAATGCCAATACCACCCAACTTCTTTGGCTGGCAAACCTTCTCCCAAGCCATAGCATGCACCTTTCTCTTCTCTAAGGTAGATCCCCATGAGAACATCCTGGACCTCTTTTCAATATCCTGAAAATTCATTGAAGAAGATGAATTGATCGTAAATAGTAATGAGAGAAAATAACGACACGAAAAACAAAAAGGAAAATTAGGGTTTTTTTTTTCTAAGTACATCGGTGTAGTTTTCGAGTTACATGAGATAGGAAAAATATTTTTTATATAAAATAAAAATATCAAGTTTCACGTTGCATAACACACATAAAAAATAGATATGATCTATTTTTTTTTTTCTATTTTTTCTCCTTAATAAGTTTCATCCATTTTTTTATGTGTTACATAAAAGATATTATCTCATGCAACGTGAGAAATAATATTTCCTAATAAGATACAAACCTCCTCACATTTTATAAATTCATTAAAGATAAGTTGCCTCTACAGTAGTAACAATTCAAAGTTATCAATACTTGAACATAAATTTTTTTAAAATAAAATTACTGTAAGACGAGAATAAATAACAAAAGAAGTTATGATTTCATATCTGCAAATTAAAGAGAAGTACTGTAAAATTGTTGTAATGAAAATTTAATAAAAACCTAATCACATAAATTGATGTCACATATTATTAAGGTGGATCAGAACAAATTTAGTAAAATTAATTTTAGAATAATTAAAGTATAAAAAGAAGTATAAAGTTTACTGAGAAATTATAGAATATAAACTTTTTAATTTTAAATTTCTTTCTATCATTTAATTCTTGAGAAAGTATTAAGTTTAAGTTTCTTCTTATCATTCAATCCTTGAGAATTTGATCCTAATCAAATAATTTTGATTATCTAGTATGACAACTCATGTAATTAAATTTTCATTGCAACAATTTTAAAATACTTCTCTCTATTTTAAAGGTACAAAACCATAACGAGTTTTACTGTTTATTTCCTTGCGTTGGTTCAATTTTATTTAACAAATCTTACAGTGTAATCATTTAATAATGTTAAATTTTTATTGCGATTGAAGAGATTTAACCATAAAAAAGGAGAAAATTTATATAAGATTAAAAAAAAGACGAAAATTTGTGTAATAAACCAAAACATACACTGATTAAGTTAATTTTGTCACTTCCACACAAAAATGTAACTAAATATTGAAAATTAGACTCTGTGAAATGCAACATTAAAAAAATTAGACTTGAATGTGACATTTATAAAATGAAAGATTTGGTGTCAATATGTAACAAACGCGAAATATTTGTAAAGTTAAAGTAATTTAAAATATTAAGAGTTCAACTTACATCATGGGTACACAATTGCATACATGATTCTTCGGAACAATAACAGGATGCAAAATTAGCTCATGCATCACTGAGATTACTTAACTACAAGAAGAGCCAAAAAAACAGAGAGAGGGGGAGGGGGTGGAGGCCCAAAAGATTAACAGTATATATAATTATCAAGGCCATAAAGAAAATAAAAAAATTGTACATAAATGTATGATGGAAAAGGGGTACAAAATCCTTCCATCCTCAATTAATCAGAGGCCTCCCCATATTTAATTGCCCATCGGGTCCCCTTTGGTCAACAGCAAATCTTAAGAAATCGTCGGGAACTGGAATCTTTAACTCCGAACAAACAAGTTGAACAATTTTTCCGGTGACACCTCCAAGGGACATTTTGTTCAGTGTCACAGCAATAGAGAACTTGTTTGTGACATCACAAAAACCTGTGGACCCACCCATTCCCGAGTGACCAAAGGCAATGGATGACCCATCCTTAGAACTAAATCTCTTAAATCCTAGGCCAAAACCCCCACTTGGCAAAGCCAAATTCTCGTACTCTCCTGCACCCAAGAATTCATCAATAATCCGAGGATTCTCATAGATCTTACCAGCAACATGGGTTCGTGGATTACTATCCATGTTGCTACCTCTAATGTCATCACTACTGCTACTAACTCCGCTCGTACTTCTGCCCTCATTATCCTCAGAATCATCGTAATTAGAGACCTTTTCATAACCTTTAGGACCAATAATGGAAGGTAATGTTGCTTCCTTTCGTCCAATACAAGTACGCTTTTTGGGGGCTTTCTGAGAAGACAATTTAGGGATCTGGGGATGGCTTCCAAGTAATGGCTTAGAAGCAGAAGAATGAGGTGGTGGTATCTTGCCACCATCAGCTAGGGCTGCATAATAACGAGCAAGTGCACGGGCAGATAAATGTCCATTAGCAGCTGGTATGATGGCACGGCGAACATTCAGTGTATTGAAAACAGGAGGCAGAGTGGTTGCAAGTTGAGCAATTTGTTGTGGCTGGAAGCTCGATGGGAGATCAGGACGACCAGTGATCGCTGAGAGCTTGCTTAAATCATCTGTATCTACAGTCAGAGTTGCAAGACGTGCTTCCACCCCTAAATACATAACCGATGAAGCATGGTTACAATTTACAGACAAAGAAACCAATATGGAAATATAAATTTCCTTTTACTCCAGCTAGTACGGAATATAAAAAAAAAAAAAAAAAAAAAAACCGTGAGTATATAGTATGCATGCCAAATACAAATTTCATATCATCCCTCAAAAAAATATTTATTCATCAAAACTTGCCTGGGGGAATCCCTATATATAGCTCTCCTTCAATGTGGAGGGGACGAACTATTGCTTCTTCAAGGATCTCCTGAAATTTCTTGCCAGATGCATGCTGTTTTATTCAAATAAATCATCAGCACATAGATAGAAATCCTACTGGTAGGAAAATTTTACTAGCACTTGGTTTAGCCGTTTTGTAAAGAATCATAAATTAAAATCGATTGTAACCATGCCAAAATTCTTATTTTATCTAAAAACACGACATCAGTAAAATACTACGCTAATTGACATCAACAAATTGGAGACATGCAGTAAGCATGCTACATAGATAAGCCATACACATTCAAGGTCCAAACTTAGACCTACCAATCAATCACACCATATATAGCATTTTGCCCAATTACAAGCATGATAATAGTACTCAAATATATCGTTCTATTACTCTTCCTTTTTCCCTTTTTCTTTTTTATATAAAATCTATTAATCTTTCTTTTAATCAACATAAAATAATCCTTCTATTTTACCCTCTTATTCAGAAAGTCTAATGAAGCATGAAATTAGAGAATATTTATTGGAATAGGAATAAGAATTAAAAAATTTGATACACAAGGACAAGAATTCATACCTCAATGATTCCACCGCACAACCAGCCAAATGACAAATAATGATAAAACTGCTCCTTGCCTGGTTCGGTATCAGGTACTGACATACACATCTGATTTAAACATTCATCCCAATCCAACATCAGTAGGGGGTTTTCTTGAGTTATGTCTGACATCGCATTATGCAAACCAGATGTATGGTTAAGCACATGATGCACCTGAAACAAAAGATGGAAACATTCTTAGAAAATAATAACTTCAGAACCTCAGTTCGGCGAAAATATCAATATTTGACCTTAATGACATCTTTCCCATTTGATCCAAATGCTGGCCAAATATTTGCAACATTCTCTTCAAGGTTTAGTTTTCTGCGAGATGATAAGCACACAGATATTTATTTCACTATTTCAGGTTAAAAGCACTGAACATGAAAGTATATGATGCTACGTAGTGTATGAAAGTAAAAATTTTAACTTCTAATGACAAAGAACAGAGATGACTCTCAATCAAAATATACATTTCTGACTAACCAAGCTAGCATCAACATTGGTATACTGGTAATATATAAACTAAACACAACAGGAGGTGGCCGGAAGGGACATCAGCAGGCAGCGGCAAATGGGGGTGGACGACAAAGCAGAAGTGGCCAGAAGGATGACATGACCACAGACCAGAAACCAGAGCAGAAACATTGTATCAAAAAGAATTTTGTCATTGGTACACACTGCCTGCCACGTAAATACAGAATGGGGTTGCCTCTAATCCATCTATGCTACCATGTTGAGACAGGAGAAAACGAGAGACTTTGGTGAAATCCGTGTGTTTAAACTACACATCGGAGTTAAGATTGTATAACCATAAAAGTAATATGAACCTAAACAAGTATGATCCTAGACACTATTTACATGGTTTTGAACACTTAAAGTAAAATCACAGAAATAACAATCCAACAGATGATTAAAGTCTGAATGAATGCATAAAATGACAAACATTGCCCCGTATAACCTTACAGTGTTGGCTTAAATCAAAATACATAGGATTGAAAAGGTGGCATTAATTATGGAGGGAAAATCAATGCATTCTGACATATATGGGTGTGAATGGGAGGAATATAAACAGCGAGTTCACTATTCCAATCCCATTTTTTATCAAAATTTCCTCTTATAGATTAGACAAAGATATAAACTGGAGTGAATGAAATATATGGAACATATGATTCAAGTAGTCTGCTTCTATTCTGCTCAAAAATGTTATATAAAGGGAAAGAAATTGGAAGTACAACATTGAGCTTGAATGTAAATCAAAAAGAAATTGACAGGAACTATGAAAGAGTTTGAATTTCATATCCTCCATACTTACAGTAATTTCTCCTCTGTCTTAATGAATTTCTTCTTTTATTAAAAAATTAATAAGTCTATGATAAATGCTTAATGTATTGTCTAATCAAACCCTCAGCTTACTTTACATATCTGAAGACAACACTAGAAGTTGGAGGAGACACAAGAGCCTATCATACAACAAGCAACATATTTGGTCTGTGACCAAGAATAGTTCATTCTATGTTGGAGCAAATGCAGACTACTAGAGTTAATATTGATGACATTACACATCAACATCAATATCAACAACAACTTTATACTAAACTAGTTGGGATGAAATAAACAAAAGAAGAAAAATTGAGAGGAAAAAAGAGAAATAAAAGAAATGAAGAGAAAAAAAAGGAAGAAATATAGGGAGATATAAGGGAAAATTACGAAAAAGGGACCATTACACAACAGAAGAAAAAGTTGGAATATCATTTAAAGGTAAAATTCAGGGCAAGACTACCAAAAGATAAATCTATCTTGGCATAACACTACTAGACACATGTCAGTTTACTAGTCAATAGCATGCAACTAAAGCATGTAACACAGCACAGCCCCACTGCTTGCACTAGTTCTATGTGAAAAGAAAACCTTATTTGTCCGATAAACAAGAAGTTACAGCAACCAATTTAGGGGCGTGCAAACTCTAGGGTCATATCATCTTACAACCTACCTATTGTCAACCAGCCAATGCATCATTCCTGCTGCGATACCCTTTGTAACAGAGAACACAGGAAAAAGGCTGTCAGGCTTAACCGGACGGGGGTCATATTTACCAAGCACTCCAGCAGCAGTGTCAATAATGACCTCTCCATCTTTGTAGGCACATACCTTCAAAAGATTATACAGAATTTACTAAAACAATTGAACATTTACTTGAGCTATTTGATTCGAGACGTCAAATGCGACAACAACAATACTAAGAAAGAAAGAAGAAAAAAAGAACATCTCTTCGGTGAACCTTTAATTATCCAACAACAGTAGTACTTGATCATACTAGTAATGCATGTCAATGCAAAGATAGATTCCTTTAACTCCAGACTCTTGAACAATATCTAATATGTATAAATTCTCAGAAACTGTCTTAATTCGTCAACTCAAATTTTAAATATATAATGGAATATATATACACACACAAAAAAAAAAAACATATAGGGCAAGATCATTCTACACGAGTGTAAATTATACTCCTAATCTTAGTCATTGATCCTCCTTGCATCTAATTGCTCACGTGATTGATGGATTAGAGCCGTTAGAAGCAAGTAAGATCGACACTCAAGATTATTATTCTTACACCAAAGTAAATTGATCCTTCTCATATATATATATATATATATATATATATATATATATATATATATATATAACGGGTGGGGCAGGATATTCTTACACTGGTGTAAGAATAAAACTTCTTACACTAAATCTTAGTCATTGATTTGCTTCCATCCAATAGCTCAAATATCTAATAAATCAGAACCGTTAAATATAGTTAGGATCAACAATCAAGATTGAATGTAACTTATACTAGTGTAAAATGATCCTGATCCTATATATATATATATATAGAGAGAGAGAGAGAGAGCATCTATTTTAAATGCTTAAACTGTTAGATGAAGGTTTATCAATTTATCACTAGCGTCCCCTCCCCCTTCTCCAAAACTTAAAAGTCCTTTGGACTTGAAATATTAAAAATGCATATGCCCACTCTGCATTCTAAAATTCAACTTTATTTAAAAGAATAGGAGTGACAAAGATCAAACTCCTAATCATTTAGTTGTAGAAACTTTGATACATTGTAAGGACCATCTATCTCAAAAGCTTAAGTTGTTAGTTGAAAGCTCAAAATTGCTTTTAGTATCTCTACCATTCTCTAACCATTCATGAATGAAGTAAATTCCCAGTATACTCCTCCTATCTTTGGTCTTATATGGCACATCAAATTCTAAATAACAATTACTAATTATTTTATACATGACCCTAGACTCTTGTTGAGAAGATGGGAAGATATATATTTTGTTTTTTTTTTTTTTGGCTATAAAGAAAGGTAATAAGTAATCATAAATGTATCAGACCAAAAAATAAAAAAACACAGTGCGTGCCGGGAGCAGTGGCAAAACAGTTCAAATCTTGGAAATAACCTCTTTGAAAAAATGCTGCAAGGATAAGTTTACGTACAAAGATTTCCTTCACCCTTACTCTGGCAAGTCAGGGATTCAACCAAAGCAATCTCAAAATTTAGCATACCAAGGTACTATCAACAAATAGCAACATGTACCTGCATTCCAAGTATTTTATCATTATTTGCCAGCTCAATTAAAAGTTTCCTCAGCTTGGCTTCTACATCAGAATGGACTGGTGAATCAAAAATCCATCTATCATTTACTGATGGTCCTCTATTAATGTACCTGGCAAGTGCACCTCAGTTCAGAAACAGATGAAATAAGCATGTAGAAGATAAATCATAAAACAAATTCCAAAAGACTCACCCACTCAAAACTGATTCTGCAAACGGCCTCATTATGTCCATATATACTATGCGTACATTCATGGTGGAAGAAAGCCCTATATCCACATCAGGTAAGTAAAATAAGTTGTGGGGAACAAATAAGCATTACAGTGGGAGACAACTGACCTCTTAGAAGATTAAGAACCCTTCCAAATATTACAATATCACCAGGAAATGCATCAACCTGAAAATTTAAATAAATAAATATATCAATGTATCTAACATAAAATCACTAGCATAAATTTTTTTGTGAAAGAAATCACTAGCATAATGTTGGAACAGAAAAAAATGCAAGTTTATATCTGAACTCACGGGATTAAAACGTTTCAGTTCTTTTTCGTCAAGGTTCATTTTCTCCTGTATAACCTTCATATTTTTGGTTCTTTGATCGGACAGAGATTTCATTGTTTTCTTAATAACAGAAAAATACACCAGAATTAGATAAACATCTAAATACTGAAGAAACCAAAGAAAATTATGCTTTCAGGAGCTTGAGGCATACTTACATAGGATTCATTTGCCGGTGTTGTCGCACGAAAGAATACAGTTGTTACCTCCATTACCTGCTCTGGTATGTCCAGACGAAACTTAAGCCCCATTTCTGTAAAGGCAGACAGAAGGGCCACGTGGTCCCCCTATAATAAAAAGGTTTATACTCTCAGTCATCATTTAGAAAGATCATTTGGAGCAACTATTAATTATGAAAAACACGTATCAACAATAACAATCCCAAATAAAGTTGTAATAAAAAAAAGTGAAAAACAATTATAGAGGTAGAAATGAAATAGACAAATTGAAAGTATTATGAAAGTTTGTTCCTGAATCAGACACTTGGCGATCGTGAAATTTTGGCCATGAGTGCAGCAAATTTCTTGAAATAATAGGGATTTGTGTATATAGGGAGGAAAATGAATAGTCAGAATAATAAAATTATATTGATATTGTTGTGAAAGATGTGTTATAATGCGATGCAATTTACAAAACACTAATTCCTATTTATACTCATGTTGGACTCCAAATCCTATTTACATTGACAGGGGATATTTATACAAAAGTAAATGAAAAAAAAACGGAAACAAATTCAAATCCTATTACAATAAAAATAAATCTCTAATTAATAGGGCTATAAATCAGGGATATGATTGCATCCCAGATAAAAACAGAAAGATTCTAATCCTGATATTCTACAAGATATAGAGGGAGGAACATGAATACTCTGTATAATAAAACTTTATTGGTATTATTGTGAAGGGGTGTGTTATGTTGCGATATAATCTATGCAACACAAATCCCTATTTATATTAGACCCAAATCCTAATAAATAAGGAAATAAATCATGAAATATAAAGAAATAAGAAAATTATTCTTGAGAGATCATCTAAGATGCTCCAAGGTATCTAAACTATTCTAAGATACAATCAATATTATGAGATATTTTGCACACATTCTAACAAAAACCACCCAATCAAAAGTTTAATCTAGGTGAGGTTGAGAAAATGGCATTTGCATCTCAACACACCCCTTTAGAACCCAACTTGCTGTAGTGAACAAAGCACAGCTCAACATCCAACATTATGTTCTGCTATTAAAAGAATGGGAAAAAATGGTGGTCATTAAGATCAAAGTACAGCCCAATTTGTGGAAAAATGGCTTCAACACCATCCCAAAAATTATTCAACTGGAAATTTTAAGGTATAACTAATACTAATAGGTGAAAGGCAAATAAATATATCTAACAACATTATCTCTTAATACAACTAAACTATACCACTAAATTTTATTAGCAAAAGCTCATCTGATCTTTGGCCTGAGAAATAACACTAAATTAAAACCCAGCCCTTTAAACCAGGCTAGGATAGGCTAGCTGCTCGAGTCACAACCCAATATATATCCTTCAAATTCTACGATCCTATGCTCTAGAAAACAACAGTTATAACCACTAAATTAACAATATTATGATTTTGTTAGTATTCATATAACAATGAAAAAGAACAAAAGACCAACCTCAGCAGATGCTAAAAACATCTTTGCAAGTGCTTGCTTAATGGTGTTTGATAGTTTCTTCGTAAGCCCAAAGTCAAGTAAAATGGGACGATGCGGAGATTCCTTGCTCACAAGAAAATTTCCTATGATGATTCCAATAAGAGAGCCGAAATATTTCATGAGAACATGGATTAATCAGTAAAAATTATTACAGAAAGTAATTATAAAGTTTCCACAACAAATTGAAAAAGGTCATACATGTGCACATTACAAACACATGCACATGCATAAACAAGAGCTCGCACACACGCGCAGAGAGAGAGAGAGAGAGAGAGAGAGAGAGAGAGAATACCTGGATGAGGGTCACCATTGAAAAACCCATCAACATATATTTGGTGGGCATAGGCACGAGTAATCTCCTCAACAATCTTTTGCTTATTTACTCCTAAAGCTTCTAGTGATTCTAAATCATTCAACCGAATGCCATCCATGTACTCCAAAACAAGGACTTTTTCTGTGGACTATCATTGGAAGCAAGCAGATTATATAAATAGGATAAAATTACACAAAGAAAACAAGGTGGGGAAAAAAAATAAGAAGAATGAAAAGGGAGCACATTTCATTTTGAACCCAAAAAAAAGTTCAGGTAACGTTAGACACTCATTATAATTAGATGCATGCACATGATGGAAAAAACTCCACTTATGTACCCTTTGGAAATTTGCACTTAGATGTAAAAACACAAGAATAAGGTAATAAGCATGTAATTATGGAGAAAAAAATTGTTTAATTATTTTAGTATGGGACCTTGTAGGAAAATATGTAAAATTCAGGTTACTTCTACTCACACTGTCTCACACAGAAATATGATAAATATGTGAATGTCTTTTCAGGTCTATGCTTAATAATGAATGACATTGTGTCATCATTTTAAGATATAAGGACTTTATGAAAATTACAAATAAAAGAGATCACTTGTTTCACACCTCTTCCCCTTAATATTTGATGCCCCATTTCTAGTATCACCATTACGGATGAATATTTCAATCATATTATTTTACACAAAGAAGATACCTGAATTACATCTGGGATCAAAACATCCACCCGATTGGCATTCATATTTCTATCATATTGGCTTCTGCAACCAAGATTTTTAGCCACCGTTCTAGTGTTTTCTACAGAAACAAAAGTTAGTAAGAGACAAACTTGTAACCTAAGGAAATAAATGTAATCAAATAAAGCGTAATTGCCAAGATGAGTACACACAAAAAAAGCAGAGCAAACAAGAGAATGGGTGCAAGCCTAAATATTTATAGAAAAATAATGTAATAACAATCCATTGTGGTAAAAGTAAGACACATTCTGGTACAAATAATTTGAAAAGACTAAACTGCCCTCTTAACACTCGCCCTCAAGTTGGATTATAAATAATGATCATGCCCAAATTGTGACAAATATAATCAATTCTATTCCAAGGAAGACATTTATGGCCATAAAAGATCTAAGAAAAATGTCTCCTTTAAAATCCAAGCATCTAGCTCCAGCAAAATACAGCAAAGATATTTTCAAGCACAAATTTAGATCCACTACATCAAAATTTACAAAGATATGAAATTACCAGCTTCATGATTGAAGTCAAGTTCTTTAGGAGCTTCTTTGCACCATTCATCAATCATAGGATTAAAGTTATATTGCGGCTCAGCCCATGCAATCCAGTCAATAATTGACTTCGCATTTTTCAAGTCCTGAAAACAATGTAGGTCCAAAAACCATTTGAACCCTCCATTTATCTTTATATCCATACATTCCATAGGATAAAAGAAGCAAACCTCTAGTATGACTGTCTTGACACCTTCATGTTGAACTTTAACGACAACTTCCTGTCCATTGAGCAGTGTCGCACGGTGGACTTGCGCTATCTGCATAAAATGTGTGGCTCAGATAAGAAAGACTCAACTCATTCAACGAAAAATATTTAATTGATAATGATTTTAAACTAAGTTATATAAGCATCCTCTAGTAACAAAAATATCCTTGGGATCTTACTGATGCTGTTGCCAAAGGTTCATTGACAAAATCAGCAAATAGCTCATCCATTGATTTCCCCAACTCTTTCTGTATGGTGCCATAGACCTAGCAAATATAAACTATATTGAGAAGTCTAGTAGTGATAGCGACTCAAGAAAAAATTGAAATTTTCATGTTAGCAAAAGATAACCCTTACTCTCTTGTTTCAAGGATTGTGAAGTCCAAAATATCAATTTTATTTTCATCACAGGAAATGTGGATTTCACAGCCAGTTAAAAGTACAAAATACAATGAATTCTTATACTAGCCACTTAATGAACAAAAATCTTTTCCAATGCTCAAAATTATGAGGGTAGTATTTTTCTTATTAAAACCTTATACTGTAAATCGTTTCTCAAAATAATAATTTTTTACTACATAAACAAATAATTTTTTTAAAAATTCAAAAAACCTCTTCCAAGGAGCGAGGAGGAAGAGAGTCCTGTAGCTGCTTCAACAGACGTATATAAGCTGTAGGAAGCACATCTGCACGCGTTGACATATATTGCCCAAGTTTCACCCACAAGCCTTCCATCTCTAATATCAAATTTAGAATACGCTTAGCATTACGCTCATGAGCCTTCTCCCACAATGCAGCTTGTTTAGATTTGGCAGTCCATTTATCTCGCTGTTGTACACCCTACAAAGACAAATACAAGCAATTAAGAAGTTCTATAGACTTATTTACTAAAATAAAAATTGTGAGCAACCAGTGAAGCTCACCTTATAATCTAGGTATACTATTATGGCCATAGTGAATACTCTAGCACGTCTTCTGTAAATGTTTCCCCACCCCATTCTCGCAGGTAAGCTATAACATGAAATCAAGGTTACTTATAAGGCCAAAGATAAAGACATAGCATAGTGACTAGATTCCAAAATATCTATTTCCAACAAACCAATAACTAATAAAAGATATTAGAATAGCACTGAGAAAGAACCAAAAGAAAAGCCAGTAAAATAGATACATAATTCATGGGATTAACACATGCCCATAAGCTCTAAGTTTCTTAACAGTAGAGTAAATAAGTTCTACAAGTTAATTATTGAGGAAAAGAATTCAAATAAAATACAGAAGAACTATAAGTAGTGAGCATATTACAAAATGACTATGACATTATAAAATATCTCAATCCTTGCCATCTCATTCTTCTAAATAAAAGTTGAATTTCAGCACATGGTAAAGATAGTCTGTGCACTATCCATGCTTCAAGTTTGATGGCTCTTACGTGCAAGGGTGTGCTAGAGATATAATAAAGCAACACTCATGAGCCTTTACTTAATAGCTTATGCTTTTAGGAGAGTTGGTGATTGACATGGTATGGCCATACGACCAAGTGGACATATGCATTGTTCATACTTCAAAACCAAAAGGCTCTTGCTTGAGGGGGAACATTAGATATAAAACTAGAGCATTTACCTAACAGCTTAAACTTTTAGAAAAGTTGGCTCTTGACATCCAGCATACAGGATCCTTAAGGAGAAAGAAGGCATTCAGGACACTACACCACAAACATTTTAAAATCTGTATGTAATATACTTCAATATACTGGTTTCCAGCCAAACAGCCTATGATAAGCCAATATCATATTGAAACAGGAATGTAAGATGATTGAGAATCAAAGATCCCCATATTCTTGGGTATTCCAAGCATATTCAAAATGATTTTTAATTGCAATTCCAAAGGCAGGGGGACCTTTTATTTCCCTACATCCACAATACTCCGGTATACTACATTCTCATCTCAAAATACCAGCACCAAACACCTCCTAAGAAGTTAGAAGTCAGCGTCCTTAAACATATACTGTTCCTAACACAGAATTGGAAATATTCAGCAACAACAAAAAGAAAAGCAGGTGGAGTAAGAAGTTAATGATCCTAGCTTTTGAAATAACTTAAATATATAAAGCCACTAGTAAGCATAATGAGAAAATATAGAATAATCATTGTTCTCAGGCAGATCTCAGAATAACGAACTAGAGGATATATTAATAATCCATCATTCAGCAAAATGCTAAGCCGCCCATTATGTAAGTGCCAAGACACACATTATGAGGCTTTTAAGTGGAAGTTAATCTTCCAATTCCAAGATATACAAATGAATAGGGAAGTCCATGAACCCCATAAAACTTTGTCGTTGAGGCAAAATTAAGTCTAGTTAGTAGCATAACTCTTAACCACAGGTGCTATTCTCAGCTAACCCCAGTCTGCCACTACTATAAATGGACATTTTTGGAGTAAGTTTTCAAGAATGCTATTTAACATTTAACTCCTAGACCATCCCCCCCTCATAATAGGGTTATTTCCCAAACCCAAAGTTAAGTTTAAATCCTAAAATTAAACTACCACCTATAGCAATAGCCTAAGTATGAAAATGCTATTCGCAAGCATGTCCATCCTACAACGTGAAGAACAAAATCATATCCGTTAAAAGTACAATAATAATAACAATAATTATAATAAAATATGCATTAATACTTGAAATACAAAGCAGAACCGACATTTTACACGTGTATTTGCAACCAACCACGCATCCCTCAGCATTGTCAGCATGATGAATAAATTTCCCCATCAAATTCGGGGAGAAAAAAAACAAATTCAATCAAAATTGAGATTATATTATACGCATGAAGAATCCATTAACAGCGAACAAAAAACGGAGAGAATTCACCAGTGACAATTCGAAACGCATCGAAACAAAGCAAGGAGAAAAGTTCATGGAAATTCATATAATCGTTTGGCGTGGTTATTACCTGAAGCGTTAGAAGGAGCACCTAACTGCTTTTGGAGGAGAAAGAAAGTGCGGTGGTGTGTGTGAGAAACAGTTAGCACTTAGAAGAAACAGAATTAAATTAAAAAAAAAAATGACGGAGGACTCGATTTTTTGTTCAAAGTCGAAAGTCGAAACGACAGGGACGTCGATGTCGTGTGTATTGGGGTTTGGAATTGGAAGTTAGAACTTTCCCTTCTCGTTTTGCTTGCTTGCCAACCATATGAGACTCTCTTGAGGTCCAAAAATGGGAACGGTAAACCAATACCTTTTTCTCTTTTTTGACCTTTTCGTTCGTTGAATTGGAGGACACGCAAGCGCGTTTTCGTAAAAATTCGTACACGTGTCACGTCGTGAAGCGTTTTGCCCCATGCATTTGTTGATATATACTTGCTTTCGCTTCTTCACTTGAGAATAGTATAAAGTGTCAAAGTGAGAACAATGTGGACGATAAAAGAAGGGACCGACGAATAAATGACATTCAAATTAAAGAATATAGATTTTATTAAAAGTATTATATTGCAAATTATAAAGGAAGAAGATTCTCGAACTATATTAGCTTAAGTGGCACTAATGTCTTTAATTACATAAAGATCTCGAACTATGTTAATGTTTGCTTATGTTCATTTATTTTCAATTTTACAACTTTAATTTCAAATCGTTGCCAATTCTAACTTCTTATTATTTTTCAAATATTATTTTTTCTTATAACTCCCTCAAGAAAGATAGAAAAATATACATTTACTTTTATAATAATAATAAATATTAATTATATTATATTTTGTTAGTTTTCTATCTATATCTGATGATGCACGCATCTTAATTTATTGCAGCTAGAAAACAAAGTGTTTGTCAAAATGATAGTTTAATTGACGTAAGAAAACTGAACAATATAGATAAGAATATGAATTCAATCCTCTCTATTATTATTTTTGGAATGAGTTTAAAATCTTAATTTTTGAATTCATCCCATTGAATTAATTGCAAATGATAAACCGATTAAAATATTAAAAAAAATAAACGTTGAATTTAACATAATAAAAACATCAACATTGTAGTTTCAAATAAAAAAATTTATATTTTCGTAATTACTCCCATACCCTTTTAAATTTTTATATTGAAAATTTTAATAAGATTATATATTTTAAGGATAATTATACGCGTAGTTGAAGTATTTATCGGCAAGTGGGCATTGAGTTGTCGGTGATGGAGACAACTTTATTGTTCGTGAGGTCGTCCGAGTTCATTCTTGTGGTCCTGGGTGTGGCCTTTTTCTCTTCCCTATTCTCCGTCCACATAATAATAAAATTAACAATACAAGAAACATATTTGCATTCATTTTGAGGTTGACATTTAATAAAATAAAGACCGAAGAAAAAATACATATATTATTTTATAATACTGCTATAAAGAATTCAACAAAGTAAACAATTTGAATTCAAAGACAGTTGAAAACCAAGAAAACACGTGGAAAGAATTCAAATTTGAATACTTCGTTTATACTGTCAAATTTATTTTCTTATATACATACATACATTATGTTAATCTAAAATTATAAATAACTTTTTTTTTTTATAACAATTATAAATAACTTTGACTTAATAGTTAAGAGACTTTTTCGATGTGCTAACAACAGTGTACTCGGTTAAGGTCTAGATTTATGCTCTTGTCCCAAACCCATTTGCCGTGAGGACTGAGGATAGTTGGTGGTGCGATATATAAATTATGGGAAATCATTATCTCCATCTACATGAGATAAGAATTTTTTCCTACACAAATTCGTTTTCCGTGCCAATTAATTTTTCTTTTCTTTTTTAATTTAAAATGTGGGACCCACATTTAACTTATCTCTACTTTTTTTCTCTCCTACTATCCTACAACATAAGAAAATATGCACCCATAAATTATTTGATTAGTCGGATTCGAATATTCTCGGATTTAATACAAAGAACAATTCTTCCTAAAATATTATTTTCCATTCTCGAAACTGAAACCCAAGATCATTGATTAAAAGAAAAAAAATTCCATTCTCAAGCATATTATCTTTTGCAAATTAACTTAGAGGATTATTTTTTTCATATAATAGGAGAAAAAATTTCTCATATTAAGAGATAAACAAAGTGAGATCTATCATTTTTTTTTTTGAAAAAATAAACACATTTTTTTATATGAGTACGATATGAAAGAGCAATATCATAAAAGTATGATTTTCCATTAACTTATAAGATTAAAGTCTTTGTACATAAACACACTTTTTATGCGCCAATGTAAACTAATCATAATAAATTTTATGACATTAAATTGATTGGTCATTTACTCATTTCATTTATGTCATCCTCAGAGTCTATTTTCAATCAATATTGATGTGCCGGTCACTTGAATTTCCAACACAATAAAATAAAACCCGTAAGATCTCCATAACGAGTGTCAACGAGGAGGACATATCTATTCGGCCTCTTGGATAGAACACATCTATAAATTTGTTGAGTAATTGACGAACCTACCTTTACCTACATGTTTCAGTGGTAGGAAATAATTGTAATAAGAACTCTAAAAGTCTTGGTGGCTTACCCGAAAAGTATGTGAGTCATGTGACTACAAGTTGAAGGGCTATCGTAAATTTTTATTTGGGTTTCAATGGTTAAAAGATTTGGTTTATCACTTGAATTATTAAGTTATAATTTTCTAAAATGAAAATCATGAAATTCTAAAATAATAAATATGATTGAAAGTTAGAATTTAGATCGCTATGATGCTACAGCTTCAAGCCAAGTTGTTTTGAGGTACTATTATACTGGATAATCATACCAGACTACAATTCACTTATGCATGTTCTTTCTGACTATATGTTACGATCTCTCAGCTCACAGTTGAAGATTAATCTTCTTGAGGCGTAGAGAATTTAGAGATCACTAAAATGAATTTTATCTTTTTCAATAAAGTCTTTTCTATATACACAATCGAGAATCGAACCTCTATCAGCATTCCTAGCTATCTACCAAATGTATCGCACTTTATTGGTACTTATGCATACTTTTTAATGTAAGGATGAAGTCTGTTGCACCAATACTTCAAAAATTTTGAAGTTTTGTGTTCGACACACACATTCCGACATATATAATATTTGAAATTTCATTATAAATCATGAAAAAATTAATCGATGCTTAACTGATATAATAAAAATTAAAAATGGATATCGAATAAATTTTATTGTATAAGAGAATTTTAATTTGAAAATATAATAATAAATATTTACATCTTATGTTTCTTTGTAAAATTGATGGGTATTATAAATTTAGTTTTATTTTTTGTTAAATTATTGAATATTAAATATAATATATAATATTTTTAATTATTTAACATATCAAAATCTAATATTTTTAGAATTAATGTGTCACAGTATCATGTCGGTGTCGGTGCAATATAGGATGAATTAAGTTGAAGATTTATTAATTTTCTTAAGGGTAGGTTATATTTAGAAACTTTTTATTTACAAACTACACTATGTATTATGTATTATAGATAATATATGCTCAAGTAGTATATATCACTTGTAGTATATAATATAGTTTGTAAATATAACCCTAGTGATTTTCTCAACTGCAAAATTAAGAAGAAGAAAAAAAAACCGTCGATGTTTACAATAAGACAACGTGTTTTGAAATAGTAAAATCAAGTCACATATGACACACATCACATAGCCTCTGTTACTTTCTTCCAATGTTTGAGAAAATCGGACCGACCGGTTGGATTTGGAATCCGATAAATTAATCATTTGATCAGTTTAGTTATCATATTAGATCGGCTAAGTATCAGATTTGGTGCGACCTGGTCGATTTTGATGAAAACCGGTAACTCGGCCATTGTTTTTTCTAAAAAGATATTTTCAAAAAAAATTTGTTTTCAAAAAATAAATCATAATTAACATATTTAAGGGATCTGTTATTTATTGACTTACATAAGTTATGTACCAATAACACTAATATTATCTCAATTATGCATTATGCAAAAAAAATTTGATTTTAATTTAATTTATAATTAAAGATGACGTTTATTGAACTTGAAACACTAATATCCCAAATATTATATGTTTATTCAATACTTTATTGAACAATAATGTATAATTTATTATTTATTATATTAAAATATTTATAATTTATATTATTTTATTAAATATTTGAGTATATTTATAATTTTTTAATATAAATCATAATCATACGGTTTAATTAATAATCCACTGATTAAATCAGTAATCCGATACCTGGACGAGATGATTGATCGAACCAATTTTAATAACATGGTTGGCTTCCAATAACTGTTTTTTTTTTTTTTTACTGTGTGCATTTTCATGGCGCTTCCGAAGCTCTTCCTTCTCTGCACGCTTTTTTCTCTAACTCTAATCTTCTCACACATCAGCGCCAATGTTCCCATTGGAGAAAGCGCTGAACCAACTGAAATAACCGAACTCGAATTTTCTGATTCATCGGCTATGAAGATCGAATTGGATCAACTCAAGTCTAAAATCCAAACTCTTGGTCTGTTCTCTATCATGTTTTGTTTTATTTTATTTTAATTTCACTGAGTGGAAACTGCTTGCTATGTTTGGATGGAAAAGAATGGAGGGAAACGTTTTAACGTTGTTTTGGAGTTTGATTCCACTTAAAGGTTGTTTTGTTAACTCAATTAACTTAGTCTTCAGCGGGTTACGAAACTTAAGAGCTTCTATAAATGGAACAATAGTTTTAGTGAATCTGAATCTGAGGTTGCCAAATTTGTATTAAGTTATTGAAGTTGAAGTTGAAGTTGAAGTTTACACTCTGTGTTGAATCGCGTGCTGTTGAAGTTGCTGTTGTTTTGCTTCATCTTAGTCTGTCTGAGATTTACTTATACAAGCAAAACATGTTTAGCTTGTGGCTTTTATATGGCGCTTCTTGGATGTCACTATATCTGCTTATGCATTTTCAGTGTGATGCTTATGAATGTAGTGTTGTAATTTTATGAAGATAGCCTCTGATAACATGAGATTGGTTTTGAGTGCTTTATACTAGAGGGTACATTGTGGGGGTCCATTTAATGGTCAACTGATTGTCACTTGCTTGAAACCTCTGTTGTTTGTTTTAATTATTTAAATTAGCTACAATATCTGATCAAATTATTTTGCGTCTTGGTTCAGGTATGAATAAGTCTATCTTTATTTTATGCTTATTTTTGAATTATTGGCACTTAAGCCAGAGACATGAATATACATAGTTCCTATAGATAGTTAATGATTCACAATCAGAGGGACTTTATTCATAGTTTCCTCCAAATTTCAAGCAGCTCTTATATTTACCCTCTTATTTTTTATCGTCTGGACATGGGGTTTTCTTTTATGCTTTTATTGATGGATAATGCATGTTGTGCCTATTTTTTTATTTGAAGAATCTCACGTCAGCAAAAGTTCCCAAGAAGTGAAGAAGAAGGATGAAATAATAGCAGAAAAGGAAAAAATCATTCAAGATAGGATGAATAGCATTGAGACCTTGCAGAATGAGATTGCTTCTCTTGAGGTGAGATATTGGGACTAAACTTCTTGTATAAAATTTTCATATTATGTTCTTCATTTTCATCTAAACTCATTGAATCTATGAATTGCAGTATTTCTGACGTCAAGGTATTCAACTAAGGGCATTATACACTATTTCCATTCTGTTATTCTTGGAGCATTCTGAAACATTACTAGAGTTGGAATCACATACTTTGATGTTCTTTATTATTTCTTTTTAATTGTAACTTGTATCTTAAGAATTAGACCACGTGTAATTTAAGTTAGTTGATTAGTTGAACTGATTCCTATTTTTACGGAAGAAGTTAGATTAGTTAGCTTAGTTAGCTTTTCGGTTATACTTCAGAGCTTCATGTATATAAGTTGTAACTGTACATTCAGATAGTGTGAATATTCATTTTTCCTATTCTTCCAGATGAGTTTCTTGGATTCTAATATGGTATCAGAGCTCTGAAGAGAGCTCTGGTATCGCCACTTTCATCTTGTTTCTGATTCTTCTCTTCTGTGAAACTTTACCTTCCTTAACCTTTGAAGCTTTGAAGTTCGATCAACAATGGCGAACCAGAGTTCTCTTCCAGATCACTTGACAAATCCATCAAACTCTTTGTATCTCCATCCTAGTGAAAATCCTTCAATAACTCTAGTCAATCCTCCTCTGAATGGACGTAACTTTCACACTTGGGTACGTGCCATGAGGATGGCTCTTCTCTCCAAGAATAAATTGTGCTTCGTAAATGGAAGCTTTGTAGTTCCTAACGAAGATGATCTTCTCTTCCCAGCTTGGGAGCGCTGCAACACAATGGTGTTATCTTGGATTCATAACTCCATTGATCAATCTATCTCAAGGTCAATTCTCTGGATCGAAAAGGCTGCTGATGTGTGGAGTGATCTCCATGACAGATTCTCGCAATCTGATGTTTTCAGAATTGCGGATCTCCAAGAAGAAATTCATCGTTTGTGTCAGGGAGAAAAATCTGTAAGTGATTATTACACTGAGATGAAGACACTGTGGGATGAACTTGATACTCTTCATCCACTGCCGAAATGTTATTGTGGTGCTTTAGATGAAGTGAGAAAGTCAAGGGAACGTGATCAGGTTATCAGATTCCTGAAAGGTCTAGGTGATCAATTTTCGCATGTTCGTTCACAGATTATGTTGATCGAACCACTTCCGAATATGAACAAGGCCTTCTCCCTAGTTACACAACAAGAACGTCAAGTGAATAATAGAATTTACAATGAAGCTTTGGTTTCGAAAGCATATTGCAGATCAACGTGGAGCTCGAGATATGAATCAGAACTCTAACAAGTTCAGATTTGCAAAGCCGAGGGGAACCAAATTGTGCACATACTGTGGGAGGACTAACCATACAGTAGATACATGCTATGCAAAGCATGGTTATCCACCAGGTTTTAAGTCCAGACCAAGAAATGTTTCTGCTAATGCTGTGTTGCATGAAAGCGATGGAGTTTATGCACAAAATAATACACAAGATGCTGTTGTCTTGTCTCAAGAGCAATATCAGAACATGCTAAATTTGATTCAGCAAACTCCACCTCAGAAAGGAGAAGAAAGTACAATTACTCATGCTGCCAACATGACTCATGCCTCATCTTCAAGTGCATATGTTACAGCACCTTCTCAAGGTTCTGGTAAGACGTTTCTTCACTGGATTCTTGACACAGGTGCCACAGATCACATCTCATGTGCATCTTCATCTTTTACTTTGCTGCATAAAATCAAACCAGTGTCAATTAATTTGCCTAATGGTTCTACGGTCATGGCCTGTCACTCAGGGGATGTCCACTTATTGCCAAATTTGATTTTAACTAACGTTCTCTATGTTCCTGAATTTTGTGTTAACTTGATCTCAGTGGTGAAGTTACTTCAATCTCTCGATTGTGAACTCATTTTTCGTGGCTTTATGTGCCATATCAAGCAGATTCAGTCTCAACAAGTGATTGGTTCAGCTAGGCTATGCAATGGCCTTTTCTTCATGAGTCAAGATGCACAGATGATAAGGAGTTGAAGACTGTTGATTTTAATAAATCTACCACTGTTAGATATGCTAATAATTTGTCCATAGACACTGCCACTCTGTGGCACTTTCGTTTAGGACACATTTCTGACTCTGTATTGAAAGTCATGTGTGACAAGTTTCCTTTTCTTACTCACAAAAATAATGCTCCCTGTGACATTTGCCATATGGCTAAACAGAAAAGACTTTCTTATGACTTGAGCACAAGCAGAGCTTCCCAAGCATTTGAACTGATCCATGTTGATATTTGGGGACCATTCTCCACTCCCTCTATTACTGGTCACGAGTATTTTCTGACCATTGTCGATGATCACTCAAGATTTACATGGACTCTTTTGATGCATAATAAAGGGGAAGCAAGAACTCATTTACGTAATTTTGTTGCAATGGTTGAAAACCAATTTTCAGCTTCTGTAAAAACCATTAGAAGTGATAATGGAGTTGAGTTCACTATGCATGAGTTTTATTCTAGCAAAGGCATTACTCATCAGACTTCCTGTGTTGAATGCCCCCAGCAAAATGGAATTGCAGAGAGGAAACATCAACATTTGCTCAATATTGCACGCGCTCTAATGTTTCAAGCCAAATTACCAATTCAGTTCTGGTCCTTTTCTATTTTACATGTTGTGCATCTGTTGAATAGACTGAGTAGTCCACTATTACAAAACAGTACACCTTATGAGCTATTATATGCTAGGCCACCTGTATTAATTCATCTACGGGTGTTCGGTTGTTTATGCTTTGCTAGCACACTCATTTCTCATCGTCAGAAGTTCAGCTCACGTGCCCGAAAATGTGTTCTACTGGGGTATAAAGAAGGAGTAAAGGGCTATGTACTTTATGACCTGCAATCCCATGAGATCTTCACTTCAAGGAACGTGATCTTCTATGAGCACAATTTTCCATTCTCTGCCTCAGAAGGTCAATTCACTAATGCACAAGTCACTGTCTCATTAAACCATTTGCCTGAAGACCCTTTCCTATTGCCAAATATTAATCCTATTCCATCTAACCCCATCAACCCTATCAATCCTACTCCCGTGACTCAACCCTCAGCACCTTTTATTCCTGACTGTCCTTTACCTCCACCTGTACCTGCTATTCCCAATGTTAGCTTTGATGAGAATAGTTCTCCTCACCCTCGTCGTCCTATTCGAACTAAAAGACCCCCAACCTATCTCAATGACTTTCACTGTACCCTATCTACCAAAACCCACTACCCCTTATCCTCGGTCTTATCCTATGATACCTGTCCCTCTCATCATCAATCTTTATGCTTTAACCTCAATTCCCATACTGAACCCAAACACTATTCTGAGGCAGTCCAACATCAGTGTTGGAGAGATGCCATGGATGCTGAGCTTTTGGTTCTCGAACAAAACAACACTTGGCTGCTTACTGATCTCCCTCCCAATAAACATCCCATTGGTTGTAAATGGGTGTTCAAAGTAAAATATCATGCTAATGGGAGTGTGGAAAGATATAAGGCGCGCTTGGTGGCAAAGGGGTACACTCAACTTGAAGGTGTTGACTTCCTTGATACATTCTCCCCTGTTGCTAAAATAACCACCATCAGAACACTCCTTGCCATTGCATCTTCTAAGGGTTGGATTCTTGAACAGTTGGATGTCAATAATGCTTTCTTGCATGGCGATCTGCATGAAGAAGTATATATGACTTTACCTCCTGGAATCCAAAGCTCAAGTTCCAATCAGGTCTGCAAGTTGCAAAAATCCTTGTATGGCTTAAAGCAGGCTAGCCGTCAATGGTATTCAAAACTCACTTCTGCTCTTCTCTCTATTGGTTATCAACAGTCCGAAGCTGATCATTCCCTTCTCACCAAATCTCAGTCTGGTTCTTTCACAGCTCTTCTTATTTATGTTGATGATATTGTGTTAGCTGGGGATGATGCTAAGGAAATTCAGCATGTTAAACAATTCCTTGATGCTACGTTTCGCATTAAGGATTTGGGGGCCCTACACTACTTCCTTGGTTTAGAGATATCCCGATCTGATAATGGATTGGTGATCAACCAACGCAAGTATGCACTTGAGTAAATAGATGATGGTGGGTTGTTAGGCTCCAAACCATGCTCAACTCCAATGGAGCCGGGTACTAAATTGGAAAAAGATAAAGGACAGCCTTGCTTAGATCCTGGCAGTTACAAAAGATTGGTAGGAAGGTTGTTATATTTGACAACAACACGTCCGGATATATGCCATGCTGTACAACAACTCAGTTAGCATGTTGGACATCCCACTGATATTCATGTTCAGGCTGCTACTCGTGTGTTGAAATATTTGAAAGGAACTCCAGGAAAAAGACTATTTTTTGGTGCTAAAAATGAGTCCAAGATCAGTGCATTTGCTGATTCTGATTGGGCAACCTGTCCTGATACAAGGCGTTCAATCACTGGATATTGTATCTTCTATGGTTCTTCACTAATTGGGTGGAGATCTAAGAAGCAGAATACAGTTTCTAGGTCATCATCAGAAGCTGAGTATAGGGCCTTAGCAAGCTTAACGTGTGAATTACAGTGGATGCGTTATTTGCTTGATGATTTGAACATTAAACTGTCTCAACCAATGGCAGTATTCTGTGATAACAGATCTGCGATCTACCTTGCTTATAATCCTGCTTTCTATGAGCGTTCTAAGCACATAGAGATCGATTGTCACATAGTACGGGAGAAGATTATCAGTGGTCTCATTCATCTGTTACTTGTTGCTTCTTCAGAACAGTTAGCAGACTCCTTTACCAAAGCCTTGGCTCCACGAACGTTTCAACAGCTAGTTGGCAAGCTGGGATTGCTTGATATGCACCTCCCACCTTGAGGGGGGATGATGAGAATAGTTCTTATTGGTTGGAGCTTTGTTAAATTAGACCACGTGTAATTTAAGTTAGTTGATTAGTTGAACTGATTCCTATTTTTACGGAAGAAGTTAGATTAGTTAGCTTTTCGGTTATACTTCAGAGCTTCATGTATATAAGTTGTAACTGTACATTCAGATAGTGTGAATATTCATTTTTCCTATTCTTCTAGATGAGTTTCTTGGATTCTAATATTAAGACCCCTTCAAAACTAATGTCTAGTTTTCTACCATGTCGTGTTTTTCTCTCTCAGAAAAACGGGGTGTTGAATGCTGAGGAGCAGGTTAGGAAGGCTCATGAACGCTCTGGTGAACTACAAAAACGGGGTAGTTATGAATTATTTAGAGTGTGTAATTGATTATAATTCTTTTGTGCATACTTTCAAAATCCTTATGTAGGCATACAAGCTTAAAGGGGACCAAGAAAAACAAAACATGGAGAAAGTGGCCTTGGAAACCCGGGTAACTAAAGCTGAGGAAAAGATTCATGACTTGAACTCAAAGTTAGAGGATGTAAGTTTTATGTTTGGGTTAGATTGTTCTTACTTATATATACCACTTCAAAGTTCAAAGTATAATTTTCATGTATAATATACTGTTGGAGCCATTCTTCTAAGTATACTATAATAAAAATACTTGTGGTGATGTATCTTTCTTTTTTTCTCCCACCTCCCCCACCCCCATTTGTGTAAAATGAGCTGCCTTGTAAAAAATTGGGCATAGGAATATCCAGTATACCTTATCATGCTTATTGTTCATAATGAGAGGGTATCCTCCTTTTTTTTCTATTTACATTTTATTCTCTCTTTTTTCTACCTAAGCCTACAATTTTAAGCATATTCTTCTAGTTGTAATGAACACGCTTTAAGGATAATTTATTTTTTATTTTTGTGTATTCCTGTCCACCTTGGTCTTACTGTTCCACTCACACCACAACTTCATATTTAAATTGTTTGCTTGAAGTTGCCAATTTCTGATTATGTTTTTGTTGTAAAACATTAACAGATTCCCCACTAAGACTTGATTGACTGATAACTATTTTCTTCTAGTTATTTCTTGCCACACTCCTGGGAACATGGTATATGCACATCGATGGCAAAGCTTGTTTTCACTCTTTATATGCATAAATTGTGGGAATTTATTCTTCTTTTCTTTTCTATTAATGGGTTATTTTGTTCAAGATTAGTCTCAGTGTAAGGGTGTATAGCACTGTGCAAAAGAGAAAGGGTAAGTGTTACTATTAAAGGCATGTCTTCAGTTCAAAACTCTTGGATATTATTGCTGAGTTGGTGACTACTTTGGGTTTTGTCAAGACATGAGGGCATGTTTCTGGTCACAATAAATCTAGTGCCTAAGAATGGGTTATTGTGCACGCTGTAGCCTATGTTATAGAGTATGGTAATGTTCATGAGTAAAATTTGATGGGCAGGACAGTTATCGTACAAGTTGTTGTTCGTAAGTTGTAGTGGTAGGTAGTAATAGCATGGGATCTCATTGATGTGATTGTGTTAGGAATCCAGAAGTGGATTCTCAGTTTTCGGAGACAGAGATAAAAAAAAAGGAGAGAAATGAAAAGAAAAGAAAAAAAATACTTTTGTAGTGTTTATTGATTTATAAACAGAGACCTAAGAACAAAATTCACCCTCAAGATTACCTTTCACAAAGAGTTCCCCCTTTCTACAACAAAACTATTGCTTCTCTCCTCCTGTTTAAGGTAATTCCCTACCTCTGCAACTTTAACAGCCTAACTATTCTAACTTACTACTCTCTAGCGCTAATAGTTAGGCTATGTTATCAATTGCGGCGCTATTGCACTGTAACGGCGCAAAGCGCACTCTCTCTGCATAAAACACTGATGTGTCCTTGTGTGTGCAGTGTCCTATGTCCAATTTAAGGAGGGAAAATTGACTTTTGACCCCCCTTTATCATAATACTGATATGTATGGTCACATAATATTTCAACCAGCTTTTTAGGCTGGTGGTCATTGCAATTTGCAACAGTCTTGTTAAGTTGTCGTTTTCAGCATCCTCGAGTTGCCTTTCCAACAATGATTTTTGGGAGCCCAAATTATATTATTTGGTCATTTTTTATTTTTTTTCAAATGATTTATTTTTAGCAAACTTAAAGCTTACTCTGTTTTAACTTAAGGGGAGTGTTAGAATATTTAGAATATATTGAAGATATCTTATAATATTAAGATTATATTTTAATATAGTTAAGAGTATTCTAGAGAATCTCTTATTATTAGTTTTCCTATTTCCATATATTTTATGATTTGTTTCCTTACTTTAGAAGTATCTTATTTTTTATTTATTTTATTTTGGTTTCCGATGGGTGTCTCTACCCATTTGAATGAGACTAATCTCCTTCTGGCGTAGAGCGTGAAGGTTTTTGCCACGGGTCCTAAGTTGCTTTGCCATCCTATTTAATATAAATAGGGATTAATACTTTGTCTTTTGTAATCACATCAATCATTCCATATGACAACATAATTCATAATATTCCATCTCTATTATTCCCTCTCTCAGTCAGTCGTCCCTCTCTATCCCTATAACTTTAACATTTTCCTATCTCAAAAAGGTAAAAAAAAAAAAGCTTATTTATTGCAATTTAAATTTTTTGACCTTACCTGTATAGATCCCTTAGTTTTGCATAAACCATATAGGTTGATCCATTATTTTATTTTCTCTTGATGAACATTTGCATGCAGATGCTTTTTGATACTTATCAGTAATTCAGCATCACAATAGTAAGCATTAATCTTGTCTAGTTGTTGCCTAAACAATATCATGCTTAGTTTGACCTTGCTCCTGCACTGAACATCCATGTCATGTGCCCTTCTTTTCTTTTAATTTTGTCTAATAATGTCTTCATTTTCAGGTGGTGGAATCTCCAAATTCTAACTCCAATAGCAGAAATGCTAAAGCTTTTTCTCCCTTCAAGAAATTTCTGATGCAGTCTTATTATGACAGACATACGAACTTACATGATTCAGATTTTGAAAATTTCATGTCTCAAGAAGTCCCTTTTGGTTTTTGTGAAGTGCTTCCAAATAACCATAATTTCTTGTTGAGACCGTCAGTTCTAAAGCGCAATCTTATTGGTGGAAGTTCTCATCCATCTGTGTCGACATTAATCAAATTTCCAACCCAACAGTCGAAGTCTTTGTCTGAACTTTTAAGCTACTCATGCGAATTCATAATTATTGAAAGACTGTCTTCTGGTGTTTTTGCTGATCCATTTGAATTACAACGTCTTGTTCAGCGTGGTGGTAAATACTCTTCATCTGATTTTCAGATTTTAAGGAAAAATGGGAGAAAAGTCCGTGTTTTTAATTTCCAGGAATATTGCCATGTTTCTTCAAGTTAATAACACTTTTTATTGCAGTGTTCAATGATATAGCTGTTTTTGGTGACACAAATCTGGAGCTGCCTTCATTCTTGTCCAATCGTTCTGCTGTTGAAATCCACTTAGATGTTGACCCAAATATATTGCTAGAGCCAAGTGATATCAAAATAGAGCTTCCATTGCATGCACGATATCAAGTAAGGTTATTATGTTTCAGTTTATATCTTAAATTCTTAATGCCATTTTCAGCTAAGCTTGCCCTTTATATTTATTTGAGTCTAATGTTATGCAAAGGAAGTAGGGTATGTATCTTTTGAAGGCATTATCATCATATGATAATTTCTTCAACTTGAGATCAAGATATGCAAGTATGCAACAATACACCGTTGTAATACTATACTAGAAGTAGTATTTCTATAGGTTTGTCCATTTGCAAGAACAAAATAGGTGTGGCTTGAACAAAATACTATATAACTATAGTTTGTCCTTAGCAAGTACTCTACATGATTTCATCAATTCCTATCTTTACCTCTTCTTTTTGCAGCCTCTGAATGAAAGCGGCTACTGCACAGTTGAATTTGGTGCACCGGATATGTTAGTGCGCTGCAGCACAAAGGAAAACGTGGAAAATCGCAATTGCTTCTTCAAATTGAAAATTGATGATGCTAATCTATACGATGCTGATATTGTTTGGAGTATACCTTCTGGAAGAAAGGCACATGCTGAAATTGTTTCCGGAGTTACATTTATTGCAGTCTTGTTATCAACTCTTGTAATTGTTGTCACGTAATATTATTCTAACAGCAGATTGAGCAAGGATTTAAAACAATCTTAAATGTGTTTTGATATGTTTTTTTTTTTTTTTTTTTTTTTAATTCAGTGGCTATACTCATTCGAATTTGTTATATTTACTTATGTATTTTCTCAATAGTCAAAAAGAGAAAAAATTGCTTGATATTTTATTTAACTAAACATAACAGCAGTTCTTTCTGAATTGCTGATAGGTGGAAAATAAAAAACTGTGTGAAAAAGATTTTTTTTTTTTTTTTGTTAATATTTTCATACTCTTGTTATGTTATGCAGGTGTAAAATAATGTTCGTTTCCTAACAACCTTGGACTCGTTCTTAGATAGATTTTACAATCTCCCACTAAAGACATTATATGTAGGCACTACTTTGGTACTAATAAATCAACATTTAGTATGTGCAAGTTTGTGTGTTATATTATAAATGTATCTCTGTAAAAAAATCTTTTTATACATATTAATAGTTATAGTAGGTAACGTTAACCTAATTAGGAATTTCTATGAATAATAAAGATAAGCATTGAGGTGATAATTCAAGAGTAACAAGTATTAAATTTAGGTAATAACTTGAAGAGATTTGAAGAGAAACACCGGTTATGTTGTAGGACAACAAATCATAGACAATCTTCAAGAGAAATTTAATTTCATAACACAAGTCACGATGGTGGAAAGAAATACATAGCTCCCAATAATAAGCCCACATGTGAACATGAAAAAAGCATCTGCAGTATACAGAACAGCATGTTTTCAGCATAATATTGAACTATGGTTAGCGAAAAACAAGATGACGTGCATGGATCAACTGCACTAATAAAACAGTAAACCTCTTTAACTGAAAAGGAAATATTGCATTGCGTTAGTTATTTCATACTTCCATTTAGGAAACTCGGTATGGGAGATATATGTCCAACACTGTCACCTTCCAGATTTCCAATTCTCACCCACTACACAATGAGGAATTCAAAAAGATTTGTAAACGTCCAAAAGCAAGATGCCCCCATCTTAGACAATGTCACCACACGAAATTCCATTTTTTCTTTCTTGTGAGGTAAAGAAGTCATCTCTTCTGCAATAGGGTACCCCTAATGGGGAAAAAACAGTATGGTAGTTTTTGCTCTTCAAAATGAAATCACATAAACTAGGTTTATGTAATCATTAGTTACGTCTTGTTATATCCACAAAAATGAAATTGTTCGTGCACCGTTTTACAACTACAGTCCATAAAATACGTGAGAAAAGTGCTAGTGTTAAATATATAGTTAACAGAGAAAACAAAAATCCCCAGGTTAAGCCAGTAAAAAAAAAAAAAAGATTAAGACCTGCTCTGGTGGTATATAGTACTACACTGAATTACACATGCTATGGCACATTAATGTTCAACCAACCTCCTAAAAAATAATGGTATTAAAGGCTTGGAGCGTCTTGAACTTCATCCACAACATGATAACAGAAAGTGTGAGAAAAATGTGACACGTTGATAATACAATCTTAATGGCAACAATACAATTTATACATGCCACGAGGAATGTTAACTCTTGCAGACCATAAGGATCTTAGAATTGAATATCCACACAGATGCAAGAGACAACCAGACTTGTGTATCTACAAAAAAACTTTTCTTTTCTATTCTTGCTTTCTTGCTCTTTTTCTTTTTCTCTTGATCTACTTGATCTACAAACTATCAAAGGCTATTTATAAACTATAAAACTGACCAACATAACTCCATACATAACACCCTCATTACTTTATAACTGACATAACTGACTCATTAATATTCTAACTGACTACTATTAAACCTAAATTGGGATTATCCGACTACTATTAAACCTAAATTGGGATTATCCGCTAAGAATTACGGTAGAGCAGTTTATGAATGTCTTCGCGGTGGACTTGATTTTACGAAAGATGATGAAAATGTGAATTCTCAACCATTTATGCGTTGAAAACGCGTCGGTCAATTCCGGATAAAAAATGGATTATCTCGTTTCATGGGGGATCGGCAAATTATTGGGCCGAACTGGATTTGAACCAGCGTAGACATAGTGCCAACGAATTTACAGTCCGTCAGGATCCGAAGTATCCGCCTTATTGGGTCGCATGCCTTCCGCTGTGGGTTATCAACCCACCCTTAGTACCGAAATGGGTTCTTTACAAGAAAGAATTACTTCTACCAAACAAGGGTCCTGACTCATTAATATTCTAAGAAACGGCTAACTCTTAACCATCATTCATTCCTAAAAAACAAAACTTCTAAACCCATTAAATAAAAAATGGACATTTAAATTTATCCCAACAAAGGATGCAATAAGGTGGAATCCTCAAATGCTGCAAAGATTGCAAGGGGAATCAGCTTCCTAGCTTAAAGAAGCTTTTTTCCGTAGTGATTTAGAGCTCCAATTTTTCTGTTTCCCTGAGAAAGATGTCTCACTAGTCAGGTTTTATGCATTTTAAGATCAAATTAGGAATTTTGAGGATGTTCTGTTCAATACTCGAGGATTTTCCCCATTCAGCTCTCTATGACAGCTAAAGAAGGGAGGCAATCCAAGATAACCAAGGAACTTATTCTATTAACACTTGCAAAGCAAATCCTACCAGAGAAGCACAAAGAGATTGGTAGAAATATAATTTTAGTTAGTGACTAGCAATGGATGTAGTTGGGGTTAATTATTCTTGTAGTATTTAGGAGTCAGTTATTTAAATAAATAATTGCAGTAATATGTAGGAGTCAATTATTTTATAAAATAACTGCAATAATAGTGATGTAACTGCAAATAATTGCAGCATGTGCTCTCTATATATATGAAAATAGGAGGGATGGGTATGATTATTCTATTTTTCTGACTTGTATATCAGCCTTGGCTGAAGGGCTGGGAGAATCCTCTCAGAGCATTGCTCTTGTTTATCTATAAATTATCTCTTTAATTGTTAATATAAGTTTTTTAGACTTAGATTGGGAGTTGTTCCTATCATAATTGTGGATTTGTGGTCACCTGGAAGCTGTCATTGAGCTTTAGATAAAAATGCACACATTAAATAAAAAAGAGGGATATTTTTATTACCAAAATTTTCTATTACTAACTTACTACCTATCTAATCACTATTGGATTAACATTTTCTCTTTTTTCAAAAACTTTGTAGCATTCTCTCTCTTTGATTCAATGGTGATTAGATAAGTAGTAAGTTAGTAGTAGAAAATTTTGGTAGTAAGAATATCCTCCATCTTAAATAAAAAGCACTTTTTTATTTTAATAGAAAGTTACTTGATTAAAAAAAAAAAAAAAATCATTCAAACGCACTCTAAAAATATCACATTTTGCGAAGGACATAATCCGTCAGTAAGCAAATTTAAGCTTTTGGAAAACTTTAATTCTTGAGATAATAGTATCCAGGCCTTTATAACTAAGTAAAGTTCTGACATTTGCTGCTTCTATAGTATGAGTAATTATTCTAATTAAACATGTGTATTATATATGTTTCAAGTCTAAAAAGAAAAGTTCTTGCCTGAGGTAGCATTAGTGGCAGCAAAAAATTAATTCTCAACCTCGAAAAAAATCACTTCAAAAACAGCGGTATATACGATCTATTGATATTGCAAAAAGTGCAAATTCATAAAAATCAAGATAATATTATATATGTTATTTAATTAAACTATAAAGTGGCGGAGCCAGAGAAAAAAGTCAAGTAGTGCCAGAAGATCCGACCTGGTAAAATCAGGTGATGTCAAGATTGTATTATTTTTAAAAATTCAACTAAAATCAAAGTCGTGTCAAATTTTTAAAGAAAATCTATACCATTTTAAAAAATTAGGTAGTGCCAAAGCATCACCTCCTCCAAGTGGCTCCGCCATAGTATAATAACTCTATAAGGAATGGGCATGCTAAATTGCTAAAGCCCTGTGCCAACTGAACTACATGACTATATGTTTGGGATATGATCAGTTGCTAATAATATGCGAAGGAATCAAATTCCTACACAATGACGTCCATGAGTTTGTGCTTTTAAATGGAAAATGTTTGCACATCATCTTACATGAAATTGTTCGGTATATGGAGTCTATTCAAGATAGGTGGATTAAGTGGTTAAAATCTATTTTGTCAATTGGATCATGCATTCCACATCACAATTTTATTTTTTTACATCAAAGTTTTGCATCTGGATTGGTTCCATGCAAGATCCACAAAACTATTAATTAAGTCCCTTGTAATGGAATTCAATCAACCAATCCCAGTTAAAAAAATCAAATAAATATATTTATGTGCAATCAAATAGTTGGTACTCACAATAATATTTCTAATCAATACTATTACTAAGTCTCCATCAACAGTATATGAAAACAACAAAATGCAATAACTCACAAATAAGGGAGAAGATAAAAATACAATCACGGTCTCTTTATATATAGTGGTTCTCACTTAAGAAAAGAGAGCAATTGATAAACATTAAAAAAAAGTTTCTTGGTGCAGAAAGCAAAAGGACTTGGATTGCGGGGTATTTACCCGCATGAAACTTAAAAAACACTTGAAAAAGCATAAACTGTTATGGTAGCTAGCTGATCCAACTATAGTTTCAGTACAATAAAGGGTAAACTCTCGGTACACAAGGCTCTCTAACCTGCAATGATAGGGGGTGAAGATCGATTGTATACAGTTTTACCTTTGTACTTTTCTCCTTCGGATCATAAGAAATAACTTTATTGCTCTCGAGGCTCGCCCTCTATAGTTTTAGAGAAAGCCTCCAAATTCAGTAAGAAGGCCAGTAGCTATCTAGATCCATGCAATTGTCCATGCCCATAAACCTATTGCTGTGAGGATTTGCATTATTGCTCATTGCAGCACCATACCCTACATTCTCAGCAGCAAGAGTACTAGCTGTCATCAAGTTGGAACTGAAATCATGCACAACTTGAGACATTGTGTGAGCAGGATGATGATGAGATGGCTGTGACTGTGGCATTGGCCTCAAAATGGGTTGTGTTGTAGCAACTGATCCTCCTCCTCCACCCAGATTCAAATTAAGCCCTGAAATGGTGAATCCTAATCCTCCTCCTGGTGCTGATACTGGGTAGTTCAAATGGGACTGCATTGGTAGGTTAACACTACTGGTGGATCCACCACCTCTTAAAACCCTAGTAACTTCAGCTAACTCTGCACTGCTCATGTAGTTCCTTCCATAAAGGAAATGAGTAGCAGGATCTCCTAGCTGCATCATTGGTGGTGGCATAATACTAGTACCAACTTCTAGGCTATAAGGATTCACTGCTCTTGTATGGTTAGAAGAAGGGTACTTTTTTGCACCAGCACTCTTACGGAATACCCTGCATACCACCCATTCATCCTGCTGGATACCACAGTGGGCGTTAATTATGTTAGTTCTTGGAAAAAAAAATTTGGGTAATGTTCATGGTGAAATAGGTGGTGATATATTATGGACTATAAATACGGCTTTTTGACCCTTTTGCCCCTCATTAATTAATTAATAACCAATTTGTCCCTGATCAAGAACTATCCACCAACCTGCCCCCTTTTAGTCGACTACCTTGCTGTTTTAGTCGAGCAAATGGTCAATCTTCAGAAAGTGGACTACCGCAAATTTAGTCGACTAAAAAATCATCTTAATCGACTACATTTTTCGGATATTTAGTCGACTAAGTAACGATATTTAGTCGACTAAATATCGACTTTTAGTCGACTAAATTTGCGGTAGTCCACTTTCTGAAGATTGACCATTTGCTCGGCTAAAACAGCAAGGTAGTCGACTAAAAGGGGGCATGTTGGTGGATAGTTCTTGATCAGGGGCAAATTGGTTATTAATTAATTAATGAGGGGCAAAAGGGTCAAAAAGCCCTATAAATACAACTACTATAGTTATAAATAAGAGTAGAGCACGATTATATTTACAAATTTTTTATTTATAAACTATACTATGTATTACGGGTAGTACATATTACTTGAACATATATTACCCGTAGTATATGGTGTAACTTATAAAAAAAAAAATTGTAAATATAAGTTATTCCTATAAATAAATAGATATTATATAATTGGAGAAATATTAACTTTCAGCAGTGTAAAAGTAAGAATTCTCCATCGACAAAAAGAGAGAGAATTCTCTCACTTATTATTAATTATTAACCGTACACATAAACTTTCATCTCTAATAAATTAGAATTATTATATGCTAATTAAGTAGAATCAACAATTAATGACAAGTGTAATAATTCTTATTTTTACACTAGTATAAATTGATTCCTCCATTGTATAATTTATTTTGTGAATATGTAACCTTGTTTATATGTATGTGTGTAATAACAAAATACTTGTTTTGAGATGCCAAAGGAATACCACCTCCCTCTCTAAGGGGGATGGGATAATGACAGTGATCCAATGCATTCTCTACTTTAATGAAGAGTTAGCTTTAGGACTATACTTTAAGTACAAGGTGGCCAGATGAGATTAAGTAAGGATACCTCCAGGTTATATAACAAAATAAAATAAAATAAAATCTTTTTTTAAATATCTGCATGATGAGGATATTGTTCTAAGGTTTCAAATTAATTATTTGAAGAGCCAAAAAGGGCTTTATATTATACATATGTATATTTATACCTTGTTGGTTCTGAAGCTGGATTTTGAGTGAATGCGGTATTCATGCATGACCCAGTTGGTTTTTTCTCCTCTAGGAGCCCTGCCCTTATAGAAAACCAAAGTCTTCTTCATACCAACCATTTCCGATGTGACACTGTTGAAGATCTCCTTGTCTTTCCCTGTGGTTTTCCAGTACCCAGTGTTCGTTGCTCGATTGGTTCTCACACCCGTAGGGTATTTACGATCTCTAAGACTGAAGAAGTACCATTCTTTTTGTCCCATCTTCGCCTTCCCTATTTCACAGAAAAAATTTTGCATAAAACTTCTAGAGAAAACCAATATAAATGAGCAAGAGTAAATTAAGTAGATGAGAATCATTAATTTGCTGTATTAATTTGTTTTAGAAATTAAACTGGAGTATACATCAAATTAAATATAGTACATAAATGTTAACCATATCACAAGAAAAAACATTACGTTATATGATGGAATTGGAATAAGTGTATCAATCGCTTGCTTGCCTATAAAAAAGGTCTAATATCCTATATCTTATATATAATGAAGAAACCCTAAATGGCGTTGACTTCAGAATAACATGGATGAAAATACAAGAAATCGAGTATTTTAATTGATGAACGAAACAAACAATATTGATGCATCTATTATTGTTAAATGAGAACGCAAAAGTAAAGAAAAGTGCAAAATCAAATGAATTTTTGTATCTAGATATAGGATATAATCATGCCTCCATATATGAATTGAATCATCAATTAAACAAAAAAAATAAGATCTATATATAATAAAAAGTACCTGGCAGCTCCCATGGTTCGCATTTGTTGAGATCTACATCAGCTATTGCTTTGCATGCAAAACTAGAATCTGATATCTTGTTTATGAGATAGTAAGTTATCAATTCTTCATCAGTAGGGTGAAATCTAAATCCAGGTGGTAGGGTTTCCTCCTTTGCACGAGTCCCTTCAATTTCCATATCCTTCCCTTCTTTGCTAACAGCTTCCTTGTCCTTCTACAACACACAAAAAGTGACATGATGTATAATATGCTTTGAGGGCTTCAAATTGTTTAAAATAAAAGCTCTACAAAAGGTTGAAGAAAATTAAACTATATAGGGCTCTGATTTTATAAATCCCTTATTCAAAAATAGACGAAGGTATCTATATACTTGAAAAGTTTTAGGATCAGCAGTTTGATTAATTATTCAGCTGCTTACTTGCATGGTGAGACAAACTTTTCTTCAATTCAGGTTTTAATGCTTTATATGAGCAAGCTTATCCGCAAGAAACACTGACTTGAGGGTTACCTGCAATTAATATGAAAGTGTAAAGAAGATCAAGGGGGGTGGAGTTTTCTAATTACTAATCACCATGCATGAGAAGTTAAAGAATTTGAGTATAAAGTCATTGAAGAAAACAAAGTCAAGTGTGTTTGTGAAGTTCTCACCAAACGTGGGTCTTTACCTTCAAGATGCATCGAACAGCTGTAAATTCCAAGAAAGATAGCTAGCAAATGAAATTTAAATGACCATCTTGACTTGGTCACCATTTGTTTTATTTCAATGAACAATATTATCTAATTTTTTAAAACCCATGGGGTAAAGGAAAATGTCCAAGGTTTTGAATTCAACTTAGATCAAATTAAAAGTATATACATACATATATATATATATATATATATATATATATATATATATAGGGGAAGGATATTGTAACAACTAATTAGTGTTACTACCAATGTTACTACCAATCAATTTCACCGTTAGATCGATTATGTTGATCTAACGGTTATATTTATTTCCATCTTTGTATGGTTATGATTCTCCATATTTAATATTTTATATTTATTTTCACTTTTGTATGGTTATGATTTCTCATATTTAATGTTTTCACATTAAATATGGGGAATCATAATCATACAAAGATAGAAACATAATCGATCTAACGGTGAAATTGATTGGTACTAACATTGGTAGTAACACTAATTGATTGTTACAATATCCTACCCTATATATATATAGGGTCAGGATCATTTTACATCAGTGTAAGTTACACTCTCAATCTTGTTCGTTGATCCCACTTATATCCAAGGGCTCTAAATTTTTAGTAATGTGAGTCATTGGATACAAGTGAATCAATGGTCAAGATTGAGTGTAAGACTTGTAATTCTTACACTGATGTAAGAATATCCTATCCCATATATATATATATATATGGAGTAGGATCCTTTGACACTAGTGTCAAATTTAAAGTTTGACACCTTATCTGAGAGCCGTTAGATCAAAAAAGATCAACGACTCTGATTTGTAAGCATGTGGCCCCATTGATCTTTTTTTATCTAACGGCTCTCAGATAAGGTGTCAAACTTTAAATTTGACTCTTGTGTCAAATTTTGAAATTTGAAACCAAATCCTAATCTTTGATTTCCGTTAATCAACAGTTATCATTTATTGGAAGTTAAAATATTAATTCACAATAAATGATAACCGTTGATTGACGGAAATCAATGGTTAGAATTTGGTGTCAAATTTTAAAGTTTGACACCGGTGTCAAAGGATCCTGCCTATATATATGGTCAAATTGCTTCATGACACATTTATAAGTTAACACTTAATTTTAGAAGCATACAATAAGGTTAAAAAGAAAAAAAAATCCATCAATGTGAAAATATCAAGAATCATGATCACCAAATTCCTCGATCATATATGTGATTAACATATGTGCAATAATTCACCATAAGTTCAAAAAATGCTAATAAAATAAAGTAAAGGATTTCTCCAGTCAATAGAGATAAGTTATCTCTGGTGAGCCCAAAACGACGTTGTTTGGGGCAGAAATCAATATATTTTTGTAATTCTAATATATTACAGGGTTATATTAGTCTTTATCATTATAATTTTTTAATCTTATAATCTAATACAACGTCATTTTGAGCTCACTGGAGATAACTTCTCCGGTGACTGAAGAAATACTTTTCCCTAAAATAAAAGTAATCCGAGCCGACTCAATTATGGAAACCGTAAGTATTGATGTTTACAATTGTTCTATTCGTTCTAACTATCTGCTAACTATCTGGCTATGCAAGTTGGCAATGAATATTATATGTTCTTTAATTTGTACAATAAATATATATATATATAAGGGGATCTTTTGACTCTGGTGTAAAATTTAGAAGTCTTACTCCTTATTTTAGGTATTGATTTTTGTTCATCTAATGATTATAATTTATTGAATTATATTAATTAATTATTAATTTTAAATAAATGACAATTATTTGATAAACAAAAATTAACGACTGAGAAGGGAAGTAAGACTTCTAAGTTTACACCATAGCCAAAAGATTCCTCCCCCTCTAACAATCTCATAATCTATGAGATTAAGTAATCTTTATTATATTTATATATAGAAAATATGATTCTCACGTTGTATGAGATAATATTTTTCATACAACACATAAAATGTGAATGTGACTTATTAAAAGAAAAAAATAGATTATATCTATTTTGTATGTGCTGTATAAGACAAAATTATATCATGTAACATGATTGTATCAAACTTTCATGTTACGCTTGTAAATAGACAGAAGATAGAAGAACCCGCATGAATTTCAGAGCCAACACAAGTACACAACATGCACCATGCATGCAAGCGAGCTAGTCGTGCAGATGTACGTAACGTCGATCTTGGTCCTGCTTTCGACCAAATATGATTTCTTTTCTTTCGGGTGAGAATCAACCACTCATTGGATGACACGATCAATGTATGTTGTACCACTGTACCTCATTTGTGAATAATCTATGAGGATAAAGAAAGTCTACGACAAGATACTAAAATTAATGGTACGAACTAAGTTAGGTTTTCAAAAATTTTAAATAATAATCTAGTCTTTTAATATTTAAAATGGACGTTAGTTTAGTTTCTTAATGTGTTTTTTAACATTAATTTTCTCCTGAAATAGATGTTTAAAATTTGTGAATTTCTAACTTACTGTTGTATGTCTCTTTGAATTGAAGAACAACGAATATATTCAAAGAAAAAATACACTTGAAATAGGAATGGCCGACGAAAGAAGTACAAAGACAACTTAAAACAGATGAATGTATAAAGAGATTATGTAAGTATTAAGGTAAAATTTCATTAAAATTTAAGGTAACCTTAGAGTGGCACCATCTCTTCTTAAATCTTTTGTATCAAAATAAAAAATAAAAAACTAAATGAATTAATAGAATTAAAATATTGATCTCAGATAAAGTTGGTATTTTTGTGTGCTTCATATATATAAAATAATTACTTAAGACTTGTTGCCCCGTTGTAGAAATTGATTAAAATCTCCCCTCCTATATATATATATATAGGGGACATTTTACATTCTAGATATAATCGACTAGTGTGTGGATATAACAAATATTTTTTTCTTTAATGAAATTCATTATCTTTTTTCTTTTTTTTGAATTCTCAATTTTACTTTTATTACATTTTATTGTGTATATATATGTATAAATATGTACAATAATTAATATGTGTAATAAAATGTATAATTTTTATTCTATTTTATTAATACTTTTATTTTTTAATAATATTTGAAATTGTGTATTAACAAAAAATGCTTAAATGCAACAATTTAATTATTATAACATCATTAGGAAAAAATTTAAAAAAATGCACAATTAGGCTCAAAATAAGTAGCTTTATATTAGTAAAATGGAAATAAATATTTAAAAAAGTATTGAATTTTAATTTGATAAACCAAAAACCACCTACATAACCGCCTTATAATTCATTTGGAGGCCGTTTAATTCAAAAATATTTAAAAAAACTTGCACAAATCACTTAGAGGGTAGCCTATGAACAATAACTGCCTAAGAATAGAATTCAGAGGCGGTTAACATAACCGTCTTACAATACAATTTCAAGACGATTTTAATAACTGTGTAAGAATAACATTTCGAGGCAGCTTTCGTATCCGTCTAAGAATACACTTTGTAGGCAGTTGAAATAATTGCATGAGAATAGTATTTGGAGGCAATTTTTGTAACCGCTTAAGAATAACATTTTGAGGTGGTTGTCATGGCCACCTATGAATATACAATGGAGGTGATTAATATTATAACCTCAGATTACATTCTGCAAGTGGTTACAAAAATTGCCTCAAAATGAATATTGCATGTGGTTGAGATAATCGCCACAGAACAACCTTTGCAGACAATTATTTAATGCATTTTGGAGGAGGCAGTTAAAATAACCGTCTCAAAATAATTTTTGAAGTCAGTTATTCCAGTGGTTGATGAGAATCGCTCGATTGTAAAACTGCCAAAATGGATGATTAGAGGCCGTTATAACCGCCCCAAAATGCTAATTTTTTGTAGTGTAATAGATGAATTATTGTGCACAATATGCAAAATGTTGAGACTAAGCAAATTTTTCATTTTCATTTTTAACGTTTGATACATTGAAATGGTAGTTGATTCTTGTCCTAGTTTATCGGAATGAGTATTTATTATCCAATGTAGAAATTACAGGATAGTAATTCCATCCTATGTATAAATAAGAACCGGTAACTATACATTTCTAACTTATTACTAATTAATTTTTTTTATTTAAGTATCAGCTGCGAATATTTTTTGTGTCTTCAAGGAACTAGTATTTATTAGCTCGGGAAGGAAATTTCCTATCTTTGATGGCGAGTCAGGTTACCACTATTGCTCAAGTGGCTTATCTACATATCTTTTATAAAAATGGAATCATGATTTATTTGATTACTTTAATTTAATTATGAATATAATTTTTTTTAATAAATGCTAGTTATATGTATGCTTTTTATAAATCTAATTTTCTTTAATATTTTCCAAGTATTTTATTATGTGTATCAAGCATAAAATTAGAAAGCATTTTCAATCTTGTTTGGCTTTTTAATAAGCTTATCGATTATTCGATTAGTTTAGTTTGAACATTATTGGGCCTATATAGGGATGGCTCCCTAAGATTATTTTAATTTGTTCATTCCTAGGACTCACCACAGAAATCGGTAGTTATTGATTTTTCAATCTTTCTTAAATATATAATAATAATAATAATGAAAAAAAATTCACCTTTCCATTTCTATACAAAAAACATTCAAAAGAAATAACAAAAGATCCGTATCTGTTGTTGTGTTAATTACATATGCGAAAATCTCTATTGAAAGCTAATTTACGGCATTAATTTCATTCATGAAGGCCGAAGTTCATATATGAAGGAACTCGCCAGAGGTGTTAATTATAAAGAAAGATGTCTTAGTCAACTGAGTATCATTCTCAACGATTCTTTGAGGTTTCTTTCAAGAATATGTTACAAGCTTTGTTTGATAAATTTGACAAGGAGAAGGAAGTTGCAACCACTGATGAAGCCCCAATTTATAGTTGGGATAGACTTGTGGGTAAAATACATACACATAATACAATGAATGACCTTCTGTCTTGGTAGGCATTTTACGGTACA